GCAGCAATGCTTAGAAGAAGAAAGAAAATGAGCAAGAAAGCATATCTACATGGCGAACTCCACAGTTTGTAGGAAATCACTCAGACAACTCTCCTTCAGCTTTGATAACAGATATGGTTCTTGCATACACCTCTTAGACAATGTAAGCGATGCGTTTCTATGCCATCCCAAAGCATTTCAAGAGTTTCCAGATCGTCGGGTCATACAGTGAACCAAATGCAGCCTTAAAGTCCAGGAAACAAGCAAACCAAGACAACTAGAATCGTCGGCGGTGTTCAGAGCTCATATGCAGAGTGAAAAGTTGATCGGGCATGAGTATCTCATTTGCTATGCCATCAGTTGTTTGCCTCGGCTTTTCAAACGTAATCCAGAAGAAGATATTCCTGAGAGTTTACAGTTGCCTCATACTACGATAATTAGGATAAGCGGTCACCAATTCCCTTCAACTATAAGGACAACCACTCCACACTTCCACTTTTCTTCTCCTGGAAAACGCTTTATGTCCAGATTTGATGAAACAGGGCATGGAGCTTTTGTACCATTCCAGTTTCTCCATATTTAATTAAATCCGATACATTCCAAGGCCTTTTTCATCTTGAGGTATAAGAGAGTGTTTTGATTTCTAGTTTAGTGGGTGAATCTATAGTATCCGCTGGTGTTAGCAGAGAATTAACTGCCGGAAGTGATGAATCTAAAGGGCAGCCGTTGAGCAGCTTCTGGAAATTCCAAGCCAATCTTTTGAGACATTCCTTCTAACCTGAAGGTGTAAGCACCGAAGCGGAATGCAACTCTAAGCAACTATGGAGAAAGTCTCACCAGATAACTCGTGGATGCGAAATGTGGACCTTAAAGTTTGAAAGCCATCTGAAAACTTGAGACTACGCAACGATACATGTTTAGAATGACAAAGATATTTGGGAAGCGCAAGCATGGGTCGGCGATGTCACTCACCGAGTGAAGAAGTTGAAATGGCAATGGACAGGAAACGCTACAAGGAGAACCGACAGCATTGGACAGGATTTCACTGGTGAATAACCCACCTCCAGATGAGTGACAGAATGAACTGAGGAAGTACGTTGACTCAGGAAAGAGGAGAATAACACAAAACAGAAGTACGTGACAAAGTCTTAAAGAAGAATCATCCAGATAAGGGCCCAGCAACCAACCTGTACCTGGACTTTAACCTTGCCACGAGAATCAGGTCAGATATTGCGCGGCAGTGTACAGGGCTCATTCTGCATTTCCACTGATTGCTAGTGCAACAGCGCTTCTGTGAGCAATGCATGCCTTCCGTTGTGTTCTCTGCACAATAGAAACTATAATATTCAGCGACCATAATGTTTTTGCCAAGTCACTAGCCTATTGTGTTGCAGCTACTTGCATTCTGATATGCAAGTGGTGTGGTCTTTCTGGATCTATTTTACGTCCCCACATTCCAAGTGTCACACTGTATCAGACATTAATCACTAAAAGGCATTTTCCTTCACACTGAAGGTGTTCTTTGATAGATAGTGAAATACTCGGATTGTTAGATTAAAATCTATTCCAAATCACAATCGTTCGTCGTTTTCTTAACCAGAGGTAAATCCGCTAAGTGTATGATAGATCCGAAACAGCTTCACCAGGATATGAAGATATGAAAAGAAGTTTTGAAGGTCTGGAAACAGCAAATACGTAATTCGCAAAACTTTCAGCCAGACTATTTGGAAAAATTGAAGGATTAAAGAAATTGGCTTACAAATGAAAAGGTTTTTTGTACGGAAAAATGAAGCAAATTTTTAACTTTTTTACTTTACTTCACTTGCACATCCATGACTCATTAAAACGTTGTTCCATGAACCTCGTGGCATAGGATTGTTCTTCGTTACCGTACGATTAGCTAGAAAGGCCAGAGAATTTTCGAATGCGGTACGTTGGCAATGACGCCTACTGCCCCTCTGATCTCTTGCCTCGTTTCTTTGCCAAAGACAACGCGTTCTGCTTCGAATCACTTCTGTTGCCGGCCGTGTAATTTCATGGTCAGGTAGACCGAGCGAGTTTTGAGACGACCAAAGAAATGTTTCCGTCGTCCAGCGGTTTTTCTAAACGATCAGCGTCGACGGCTCATGTTTTCCCGGCATCGCACAAGGCAGAGATCATATCCGCCACTCAAGTCCATTGTGGAACTTGTGCACTCAGAACAATATCCAAGAGAAAGACCTCTAGATTCTTTGCATTCTTACTTTTTGCGTGACCATGAGTTTCTTCTCATGGACTTGTATAACGGATCAGCATTCGCAGCTGTAGAATATGGCAGGTAGAATGGTCGATCAAGCAGTTCTTACTGTACTCACATGGGCAACTCACTGTCGAGTAACCATGCTTTGATATGGATTGAGCTGTTCCATGCTTAGCGACATCATGCAATTGAACTGATGGGTGAATTGTGCACAATTGGTAACTTCTTCCAGTTCTTCACCATTCGCAGAGAGTGCCCATGGGCAATGCTCATTTCGTCTTGTACAAATTAATCTCGAATCCGATGGTGCGGAAGTCATTTCGCAACTGCTGGACCTTCTGTTGTAACTCCAACGTATCTTGAGGGAAAACGAGGCAAATGTCCACAAATACTAAGTACGCTGCTAGTTCATAGCCATCTGCTCTCTGTGGATATTGATACTGTTGCATCGGTTTACCCGGTGGAATAATGACTCCATTGCAGCTGTGAGGTAGTATTTCTCCGGCGCACTCCTCCATAGAGTCAGATCCATATTCCAGTAGAATGGCTTGAAGTCCGTCGTGCTGTATTCCTCGATCAGGCTTAAGTAAGCTGGATCCATGCCATGCTCATGCCCGAGTTCCACACAAGCGTCAATATGATTCAATCTAAACGCCCTTTTGTGTGGATTAAGGCGTGATAAAGATACACCTGATATTCCTTACACTATTCTGCTAG